GGGCCACACGCATGCCAGGCGAGCGCGCTACCGCCTGAGCCACATCCCCAGCCCCTATTTTACTTTTAAATTAATTCACATTCTAGTCAACTTCTAGAATGTAAATTAATTTAATTTACTTTTAAATTAATTCACATTCTAGAAATTTTGTTTTCTAAAGTCTGGTTTGACTAGTCATTCAGTTTACACTAAGTGTCATTTAAAGAAAATAATAGCATAAATATAGTGGTGGACAGATTGATCTGCTTTACAGATATCATATTTGTTATCTACAGTGAACTTGTGAAATAGATCGGCAAGTACAATTGCCTTCCTTGTTTCATAATTAAGACATCAAGAAATTCAATGATTTCTACCTTAACATGCTTTATTTTTATTTTTTATTTTTTGCTACCAGGAGTTGAACCCAGGGGTGCCTACCAATTGAGCCATAACCCCAGCTATTTGTTTTACATTTTATTTGGAAACAAGGTCCCCCTAAACACTTTAATGATAAGAATATTACCAAGTTCACTTTACAAATCTTCATAGTTAAAAATGCAGTATTGTTTTAAATAAAATGAAGTTATCTGTTATGAATACTTTAAATACCTTTTTTGTTCCTGGTGTTTCATCTTTTCATTACTATTTTTTTATTTTTATACTTTATACCTTATGCTTGCTAGGCAAGTGCTTTGCCACTGAGCTACACCCCAGCCTAGTATTACTTATTTTTTTAAAAAAAATCTTTACTTCAGTGTGTGTTGGTGACCATTTCTGACTTTTTGCACATGGTGTTTCTCACTGAAACACCATGTATTGAAATATATTAAGCAACCATATCTATCAATCTAAGAGGAAAAATACTTTTGTCTTTCCAGAGGAAGCAGTAGGAATGATCTTGGCAAGAAAAACATTGGGAAACAAATTCTGCATCATTCCCTCAAACTTGGCCATTAAAAAAAGATAAAGATAGCTGGGCATGGTGACATGTGCCTGTAATCCCAGCTACTCAGAAGGCTGAAATGGGAGGATCACTTGAGCCCAGGAGGTTCTAGGCAATATTTTGAGACCCTGTCTTAATAATAAGGACAAAAAAAGATGAAACAATATCATTTTTATGCCTGGAATAAGACATCATAATAGTTTGAATTTAAAATGTGTCCTTGTTGGGCTGGGGATGTGGCTTAAGCGGTATAGCACATTCGCCTGGCATGTGAGGGGCACTGGGTTTGATTCTCAGCACCACATAAAAATAAAATAAAGATGTTGTGTCCACCAAAAACTAAAAAATAAATGTTAAAGAATTCTCTCTCTCTCTCTCTCTCTCTCTCTCTCTCTCTCTCTCTTTAAAAAAATGTGTTCTTGTGTTATTAGGTGCTTTGACATTTTTTGAGCTATGCTGATGACTTTAAAATTCTAGTACAGCAAAAGATTCTGGGTGGTACCATTTAAAGAATAGTGAATCGTAGCAGTGACTAATCTAGTGGATAGGATTTCTGTTTTTTGTCCAAAGCAATATTATACTTGTGATAGGTTCAGGGGAAAAAAGGATTTTTATTTTGTTAAAACTCACCTGTTATTTGTCTTTAGAACTCTTACAATTTCAACTATGAGCTTTCATTTTGTCTTTTGTTTACTTTTGTTGACAGTCTTAGTCTAGCACATTTTCTCTTACAATAGTCTGGGAAAAGTTGGATCCACATACCACCTCCTCCCTCATTGTTCTTTTCCAAAGCACTTTTATGTGTAGCCTGGGTTCATTCATACACTAATGTAGGAAGACTTTTTTTTTTTAGCACCTTGCTTGTCCCATGGTAAAATTAATGTATTATTTACCAACTAAATCTCTTAGAAAAATTAGATAGCAATAATTGCAATAGCATATTTGTGTCCCACAAACATTGTTCTACAAGTGTTGACTATGTTTTATTACCTATTTACTTCAAGAATTAGCAGAGATTAAATATAATATTATATAAAACTATGCTTTCATTGATATGTCCACTTGCCATATTCATGAAACATGTAAAGAGAAGGGACAGGCGATGACTTAAAAGGTAAGGTAATGACTAGTTAAACTACACTGAAGGAGCAATACCAAGTTAACTTTTTAAATGATTTCTTTACTAGTTTTTAATAGAAGGTATGTATGGAAGATACTTTGTGAAGTAACCTACTTAAAGGTACAGTATGATATATACTCCAAAGTGATGAATGCTGTAATTAATGATTCCAGAAAATCTCTTTAAATTGAAATGAGACCTATTCAATCCAGAGAGATCAATATTTTAAACTCAAATGAAGTTCACAATTTAATATGTAATATTTTAAATAATTTTGTTTTAAATCTTGGTTGATTCAGATAGTCTTATTTTTCTTCCACTCATTGCTGACTCATAACTATTCTCAGTATTTTGTCATTTCTTGCAGTCTACTAATGAGGAATTGTGTAACTTAATCATTGACTTGCTTACAACTTTGTAGTTCATGCTATACAATCACATTATCAATTCAAGAAATTTTCAAATGATGCTAGATTGTCAATATGTACTTTAATTTACAGATCTCCAAAAGAGAAATTGTTTTTTTCAAACAGACATTCCTCAGTATTCTGAGGAATATTTGAAGCAAAATGAAAAAAGTGTCTATTGGAAGCAGATTGTTTTCCCTTGTGAATGGTTGGGTTGCTTAAGTTGTGACATCTATTCTAAACATTAATATTTTTGTCTAAAAATACTAGTTATAACTAACATATAAATCACTTTTACTATTAGACATCATGGATTGTGTCTAAAATCAAAGGTTGTATATTCCTAACTTGGGAACTTTGATGTTGTGGATAGTATCAGACATTTTACCTCTTAAATTTTAACATTTTCTAAATCACCTTATTTTCATTTCAGTAACAGAGCAAATTAGTTTTAAGTTTGGGGAGTAGAATCTCTGTATTGTATTTGAAATTAAATTCTTATAAGCAAGGGTAGACAAGATAAACAAAAATATGTAACCATGAGTGGCTCCTAAAATAATATATTTATGTCATTTATGAACAGTAATATTTCTTTGCTTTTGACCTCTAGGAAAACCAGAAAATAAGAGAAGCTCATCTTTGAATAGAAGAGAAAACAAAGTACATTCATCTACTGACTTAGAACACATGGAGGACAAGACAGGTGATTAGTGGTTAAAACAGGCATATTTATGTCAACATTATTGGTTAAAAATCATTTCTGAAACTGAAAAGTAAAGCATCCTTTTTTTCCTCCTTGAAGTTCTATGGATGGAACCCTATCATATGTGTTTTGTTGCTTTTTGTTTCTCACCATTCACTTATGGAAGACTTTGTACTTAATTGATTCAGGTTCAACCCTATTGGAACAAATGCCATTTCATAGGAATCTTTAAGAATATAAATACTTATTGGAGCAAGATATTTATTTATAACAATGCTCATTTTGGTAGGAGGTACTGGGGATTGAAATCAGGGGCAGTCGACCACTGAGCCACACCCCCAGCCCTATTTTGTATTTTATTTAGAGACGGGATCTCATTGAGTTGCTTAGTGCCTCATTTTTGCTGAGGCTGGCTTTGAACTCATGATCCTCATGTCTTAGCCTCCTGAGCTGCTGAGATCACAGGTGTGCACCAGCATGTCTAGCACAAAGCTCATTTTTAACAAAAAAGTTCAGTCAATTCCTGGGAGCTTTTGGCAATGCACTTGATCATTATAATTGTCAATGACATATATCTGGGAATCCATGTAAAGGTTGTGCAATTCTTTTTCTCCATGTGTGAGTTCCCATAAGGACACCATACTATGGGAGGTGGTTATGTCAAATATGTTACCTGGGTTTCTTCTTTGGGGGTATTGTGGTATGCTGAGGCCTTTGCTCCTTAATTCAGGTAATCTTGTCCCTGACAGTGCAATCTGATTAGATTAACAGTGTCCAATCCTATTATACTATGTATTGTTGGGAAAGTTACCATTTTTACAGCAGTTTACATTGATAATTCTTGCTTTGTATTTATTCATGTGTAAGACCTCAAATTGAATGCTTTTTAAATTTATTCTCATCATTTAGCTCGTCGATTTTATAGCAATCCCTCAGAGAATAATTTAATCAGTCGCCTGCTTATCCCAACAAGAGCATCAGTAGCCAGAAGCAAGACTGCTGCTTCATTATCCATCCCAGGAAAAGATACTCCAGGTAACAGGCACATGGAAAAAAGCCTGAAAGTACTTGTGTTTGCACTTAAAAAGTAGGCTCTAACACTTGACTTTTTGCTTTTAGGTGTCAAAATAATTTGATTCAATAGTTACAAAATTTCTAGCATGGTAGATTAAACTGGGTAATGGGTACAGGATGAGAAGACTAACTTGGTGATGGTTGTTAAATTTTATTTTGTTTATTCAACTATTATTTATTTATTTATTATTACATGGTGCTGAGGATGGAACCTAGGGCCTCACATGCACTAGGCAAGTGCTCTATGACTGAGCCATAACCCCAGCCCATGTTGGTTAAATTTTAAAGCTCTATAGATTCTAAAAATATAGAAGAACTTCACTAATATCAAACAAGAAAATTTCCTATTAACCTTTTTTTTTCAAAAATATGGAGCAATAACATTGATCAAACTTTCAGTTTTCAATTAGGGACATAAAGATTGTAAGTACAACAAAACAAATCTTCAGGATTATGAGGACTTTCTCATTTGTAGTTTACATAGCCTGTGGACAGCAAGATATCCCCAATAATGGAAAGGTCTATTGCATTGTCCCCATTATTTACCCCCTCTGCTCTCTCCTTTCCAGAATACATCCCACCTCTTTTTTTTCTGTCATTTTCATGTGATTAGTAAAATGAATCAACATTGTATCAGTCTTTCTTGT